GCCTATGCGCCAGGTGTCTTCCAGTTATTCGTTGTCGTTGCCATGTCATTTGCTTGCGTGTTGCACTTTGCCAGGGTGCCAGGGTGCAAGAAAGTAAATACGGCCACGTACGTACATACGGGCGAGGTCTCCAACGCCTACTCGCACATACGTACGGCCATGGCTCGTGTACATGGCTGGGTCGAAATGGAGAAACTGCATCATTGTCGTGTTCATCGGGAGGCAACGGAATGCGTCGTGTTCATCGGGAGGCAATGGAATGCGTGGGAGCCGACCGGCTTGGACAGAAGAGCCGATGAAAACAAGGCCTAGCGTACCGCAGAACGAAGGAAACGTCCTGGTATTCGACCGGCCACATTCGAAACGGGATCCTATTCATCGGGAGGGGTCTGGCGTACCGCAAAACGAAGGAAACGGACTTCTATTGGACCTCCTACGGTCGAAACGAGATCCTGTTGATCGGGAGGGGTGTGGCGTACTGCAAAACGGAGGAAACGGACTTGTGTTGGAGCGCTACGGTCAAAACGGGGGTCCTGTTAATCAGGAGGGCTGTGGCGTACCGTAAAACCGGACTTCGCGGGATACTGTTCATCTCCACCGTCGACCTCCTCCAGCCTCCACGGGCTACTGTTCATCCACCGTCGACCTCCTCCAGCCTCCACCTGCGACTGTTCATCCACGGGCTCCTGTTCATCCAGCCTCCACCGCGCGCTCCTCCACCGGCTATAGTTCAACCAGCCCTCTCCACGGGGTCCTGTTCAACCACCCCTCCACGGGCTACTGTTCATCCAGCCCTCCACCGGCTACTGTTCAACCAGCCCTCCATCGGCTACTGTTCAACCTTCCCTCCATTGGGTCCTGTTCATCCATGCTCAACCAGCTCGATCCATCGGGGTCCTGTTCATCCAGCGGCAACACCAGGGGGTCATGTTCATCCAACCCCCACCGGGAACTGTTCATCCATACCACCCAACAACGCTCACTGTTCATCTAGAGGCGGCATTGATCGGCTTCAGTTAGCAGCAGTAGCGAAGGAATCGCTCGATCGCTCTGGTTCAGTAACGCGTAGCCTGCAGTGCAATCGTTCAGGTTCAGTTAGGCGAATGTCTCGCTCGGGTTCAGTTAGAGCCGAACGCCTCGCACCCACGCGCGTACGTTTATGAGAGAAACGCGCATCGCTCAGTCCCCGACAACCCACCGTAATCAGGGACTCCCCGAAATTTTCCTCGCCCTCGCTTCTACCACGATTCTTTCCGTCATAGACGGCCGAAAGAATGTCATGCAGCTGCGTCTCCGGCCCACCCTGGACCAAAAGCCAATTTTCTTTCACAATTTTTTGTCATGGAAATAAGAGCTCACCATATCTATGATGATACCGGGTTTTGTCACAATTATCGTCATAGAAGTGTCATAGTATGACATAATTTTTTTTCGTTCGGCCCAAAATGTCACGGATGTGTCTTTTTTTTGTAGTGAAGGTAGCTTCGCTTGGCGAACTTTCGGTGGAGCTCACTTTCCCAGCTTCTCAACTCTTCATAATTTTAATTAAGCCTCTCCCGAGTAACTCCAGGAGTTACCTCGCTCGGCCCAGCTCCGGACCTGGAGTTGGAGGAACCGGGAGCGAGGAAGCTACCAAATAAGCCCTAAGATAATACCAAATTGTCAAATTCCTACCATTTTATCAACGAATCAAGAGCTAGAACGTGTGCCTAGCAAAGTCCTTATCATCTGGACAATAGGAAGCTTATCTTATTTCTTATCATCGTATATAGTGCAGAAACTCTGCAGTAGTAACTAGCAGGTGTAACTCTTGTATTTTCAACACTTTTCTAGAGCAGAACTGGGGCTTAAGATTAGAGAAACCCTAGAAGATGCGCCATATTTTGGATCCTAAAACCTATGCGAAGGTGACCGCTATAAATTATGGAGGCTCCATAGTCGTGCAAATTCATAATCACTGTAACCAGCCTCCCAAAAAAATCAATGTCTGACCCTTTTTCCATTGGCTTAGGAACTATTTCTTCCCCATCACATCAAATAAAAATGGATGCTTCTAACCAACAACAATTTCTAGTACAGTTTGAAGATTAAAAACATAGATTTCTTCACAATCTAGTTCGCTCTCGTCCCCTATTTGCAAATTGCCCTGCAAACAAGGGATGCTTCAGCGGCTGTCACTTCCGCGGTCATACAGTCTACGTACTTTGGTGTGTCCTGGACGCGGGAGATGGCCACATCTTTGAAGCGCTGCATGAGCGCGTCCATTTCTATGAAGGAGGTGGTCGTGATCTGTGCTAGGTAGCAATGGCGGCGTGGAATCAGGCCCGTCAGATGGCTAATTTAGCCTTGCGAAGAGCGTCCTCCTTGACCCACTCGGAATAGTCCCGTTCCCTCTGCCCAAATTCTGTCTCGGTGCGATCCTCTTTGGTCTCGTCAGGGAAAGGTCCGCAAGGAGGGTTGACAACCTGGACAAGGTTCATGGGAAAGATGCAGTGATGCCAACGGAGGAGGAGATAGAGTGGCGCAAATGAAGGGGAGAGTGGAGTGCCATCAGTGAATGGAAGGTGGAGTAGCGCCAGTGAAAGGAAAGATGGGTGCCACCCAAAGGGGGTTGGGCCAGTTTATATACCGTGAATATGCGTGCTCCGACAGAAAATGGTGACGGATTTTTCACGCACATGTGGGAAATGGGTCGAAAATATGACGAAGACCATTAATATGTGATCTTCCCGGTGGAAAGTGGGAAGAAATCGGGCTGAAATTTCACCCCTATGTGAGTGGTTGGGTTTGAAGCACACTCCAAAAGCTACGTAGGCCGAGGCCGCTACGGCGACTCTGCTAAACTGAGTCTTTCAAGCGCCCGTCATCAAACTGGTGGTTAGCTACTGTATTGTTGCTGTACTAAATTAAAGCGAGCACCCAAGAATTCCGTGTAATAGAATTTAAAAAATTCAAGAGCCCAGAGATCTAGTCCGCAATAATAAAACCCAAATTAGCAGCATATGATGTTTCTAGTGTCCTAGAATTATTTATGATAGTACCAGGTACATAGCAGCATACCCTACGGTTTAGAAAGAACATCCAAAAGGCAAAATCAACAGCAAATTACGATTTTTAAGGGAAGCGCTAGGACACCAGCGCACCAGCCCAAACATTTCGTCGATTGGCCCAGAGTCATTCGATATTTACCCACAGAGCCACCAGATCTGTCCCCATCCTCTCCCTTCGTCAATCCCTCGCATGGAAAAAAGGAGGACACCACGCCGACCCTCTCGCCTCGCCTCCTCGTCTTCTCAATGCAGAACCGTCGCGGTGGGGCGCTGTGCTGCTGGCTTGCCGGGAAGCAGGTCCACCTCTGCTCCATTGGCCCTATTGAGCTCTCGCTCGTGCAGCGCCGCCAACCTCACTGTGCCATGCGTTCGTTGTCGTTGCAGCAAAAAGCCCACCGACCATTTGTAGCCCTATCCTTTGCAACTTCTGGTCAACGATGGTGCCAGCCCCCTGTCCCAGTCTTATCCCCGAGCAGTTTTTGGCTTGGTCATCGTTGCAAAAACGCGAAGATGGTTGTAGCAAAAAAGTAGATTGCCTCCAGCAAAATCAAAAGATGGTGGTAGCAAAAATTAGGCTGATTCTTGCAAATGAAAACAAGGTGGTAGCAAAAAATGTAGATGGTTCCAGCAAAAACAACATCGAAGGTTTGCAACTCTAGCTCTCCTCCATTCCCGTGGTAGGTTCAGTCCACGCCATTCTCAGCATTACCGTCCTGGTGCTTGTCTCCTCTGATTGCATGGCGCCACGGTTACATCATCTGGGCACCACGGTTCCAGCATCAACTCCCCGTGGTTGCAACACCCGTCGGCATGATCACCAGTGCAGTTGTGACTGGCTAAATACATGGTGTGATTCCAACAATACAACGACATGTTTCTAGCAAAAAAAAGCTCTCTGTCACCGGTGGCAGCAAAAAATCTCACCAGTACCAGCAGGAACAAAGGTCGGTCCTAGCTCGTGATTTGCGGCTTGTAAAATGTTCGAGTTGCGGCCGATATTGATTGCAGCTCATTGCCCTATTGCTTCAAGCTTCTCTGTCGGCAAGTTACAACAAAAATGCTTGTCGGTTGCAGCAACCCGTGGAAACCCGCGGTCATCCCCGGTCATCGACGCCGCACACCACTGGCTATCACTCCTGCTCGCCACTATTGTAGCATGGTCGACGCCGGTTGAAGCACCCCGGCGTCGCGGTTGTAACACCTTCGAGCTACAGGAATAGCAAGCTGGGTTGCCTCACGGCCACACAAATGGATGGGTGGCCGCTTGCCGGAGCAGCAGGGCAGGTGGGTGGTGTCCGCTTGCCGGAGTAGCGCTGGCAAGTGGGCGGCAGCCGACAGGGGGTGTGCTCTGATTTGGGGGAGAAACCATTGTGTTGACTGAGCGAAGTGATAAGGGAGACGCTGCGAACGGCTTGCTGGCCCACGAGGTGATGCGTGGTGGGAAGACGTAGCACAAGCGGAGCCGGGAGATTGTGCGCGATCGTAGGCTATGCGCGTCGTCCGGCGCAACGTTCACCCCGCACGCCAGATATAAGTGTTTCCCTTTTGTTAAAGTGTCCCTTGAAATTTTGGCTCCAAGGTTTTTTTTTGTCGGGCGCAAGAAAAAGCAAAACGATCCACCATCCAAATACAGTTTTTCTAGGGAGACCATCCAAGTACATTTGGTTTATCTCTCAAACAAAAAAATAAAAAATCAACTGCATTTGGAATACGATACGGAACCGGATTTGGGCTGGATTCGGACATAGCATCTATTCATCTGGTATTCGAGTCGGAGTCAGATACCGTAGGCTAATCGGCCGATGGATACATATATAAGGGGACGTCGGCGGTCTCCTCCTCTTCATCCATCCATCCATTGTCGCCGAGACAACCGCATACGATACACATCGATCCCGCCGGGACAACCGCATACCAGCGTAAACTGTTTGCCGCGAGCCCGGGACGCACATGACGAACACATTCACGATGTGTCCCGGCACCGGAACGAGCCATATCCTTCTTCCTAGGGCGGCGCCGGGCTACGCAGGCTCCAAGCGGACGCTGGCTGTGTACGACCCTGCAGCGGCACAGCAACGGGCCGATGCGGTCAGACTCTCTGCGGACGCCGGTGCACTGGTGCCATCACCCGTGGGCGTGGCCGACGAACCCATCAAGGCAGTGCCGCAGGCTGCCGCCGCTCCCAAGCAGAGAGCTGAGCCGCCGGGGATACGCGCACCCAAGGGCCTGCTCGCGCACCTGAGCCTCCGCGTCGACCTGCCCGTGCACTTCATCGACGAGAAAACCGTGACCGCCACCGACGTGGATCCGCAGCAGAACCGGTTCCGCCTCCCAATCGACGGCGTGATACGCAACCTGCGCCCGGTCCTCTCCCACCTAGATCGCCAGGCCGCCAACCTGGTGCACGTGGAAGCCCCGAGACCAAGGCTGCCGAAGCTACCCAAGGTTCCTGGGGAGAAGACGAAGAAGAGAAGGGGAAGGGAGCACGGCGGCCTTCCCGTGCTCGTGATCGAGCGCGACGCCGGCATCAGGGAGCTGCAGCTGACGCGGTGGGAGAGCAGCGGCGTCTGCGTCATCAAGGGAGAGGGGTACATGGACTTCATCAACAACTGCGGCTTCAGTGTGGGTGACGTGGTGGAGATCTGGGCTTTCAAGCAGAAAGCCTTGCGTTTGTTCGGCGTGGATATCTACGAGGAGGGGTACCAGGAGAGCTCTCTCTACGTTCTCTTCATCAAGAAAGGCCGGATGCTACCACCACCCCATGCTCTAGTAGTTTCCGATGGAGGAGAGGAAACAGCACAAGAACACGAACCCTAGCTAGTTCCTTAGTGTTCTTGCGTGCAGAATTGTACAAACCTGTTTGTTCTATGGTAGTGTTGAGACTTGATTCTTTTCTTTTTTGAAGTCGTGGTGTTGAGACTTGAATGTAACCTGCGCTGATATAATACAGTCCTTGTTTTTTCCTTACAAAAAAGGCTTATCTCATTTAGTTTTTCTCTGGCAAAAGAGACGACATTCAACAAAGCAGAAAATCTATGAAAATATATCTACAGTTCGACGGCCTAGCCGAAGTGAAGAATACTGGAGCAAATGTTAACATTCCCTACACAAAACAAAACTACGTATCATACATGTGTGCATGAGGACCAGCTTCCTCCTCCTAGGCCAGTGGCGGAGCTAGACGCAGATTACGTCTAGCGCTGTGCTATGTTGAGTGATAAACTTCTATGATTTTCTATGCTTTGCATGAAAAAATTACAAAGGAAGTTGTTTCTAGGCCTGGGGCTATAGCCCTAGCTACCCCAGGCCTGTCTCCGCCACTGTCCTAGGCGAAGATTAAACCTCAATCATCGCATGTCCACCACCATGAGGTGCTCCCTCGTTTCTTCGCTCCTCTCGTGCGCAGAACTGACAACAATCTTTATTTTCCTTGGTTTCCGCTTTCACACTCTTTGAATAATGCTAATTCGTCTTTGTCAAATTCTTTTTTTTTTCAAATTGAAAGCGTTTTCTAGGTGCGGTTGCGATACAAAGTTAGTAGGGGGTCTGTACGATGGTCTTATACCAAAGATCACCATAAACTCATCAAAATGACACTTTGACTGTATTTAATACTCCCTCCGTCCGGAAATACTTGTCATTGAAATGGATGTATCTAGATATATTTTAGTTCTAGATACATCCATTTTGTTGACGAGTAATTCTGGACGGAGGGAGTATGTGAGGTCATCTTGTTTATCGTAGCTTAATATAATCCTATTAGGAGCAGTGTTGAGGGAAGATTGTTCCAAGACTTGGGGTCTTCAGAGACTCTCTGAGGTGAGCTCCAAAAAATTTCTCTTCCTTGACGTCGTCCTGAGTCAACGGAAACCTCAGACTCGACCCTAGGTTCCCAGACTAGTCTTGGAACTATGTGCCTCTACCCTTGATTTGATTCAAATGAGAGTGAGGGGACATGCACATGGACTTGACAAATTGTCAATGTTTCCCTCAAGGTGGTCGGTAGGAGGGACAACTACGATAATCTCGTCCACTAGTCCATGATGGGCTAGGGACGATGGAGCATGGTCCATGCTGGACCAGCTCACTCATCTCTCCATCATTTTACTCCCTCCATCCCAAAATTCTTGTCCTACATTTGTCTATATATGGATGTATCTAACACTAAAATGTAACTAGATACATCCGTATTTAGATAGATCTAAGACAAGAATTTTGGGACGGAGGGAGTATTTCATAGCAGGCTTCATCCTTTGAATTTCCGCTTCACCATATTTTTCTCTTTGACTTGTTGACAATAGCAAGTTGTTTAGACTTTTGTTGACATTGTCAATTTTATCATGTAGATGTTATGCAGGACCAAGGACCCCAAGTAGAACTTATTGTTCCCAAAACATAAATTTGCTAGTATTTCTAATGTTGTTTGAATATGGAAGTAACACACTCTGCCATGAAAAGGGATGGCTCGCCCTAATGTTAGTTACAACATTGGATCCCGCAAGAAGTATAAAGCCTCTCTCAATGCATATTTGCTTAGAGTAAGTTCAATTAAACTCTCCAATGCATATGGGCTTAGTCCGTTGTAGGTAAGGTTCTTTCAAATAGTTAGTTGTAGGATATTATGTGGACACTCAAGAAGCAGGGGGGAAAGAGGATATGGACTAGAAGATCCGGATGGGATCCAAATCTAACATTCTTAAGAAGTTGCTCCCCACTTCTCCCTATTCTCTCATCATGCAGCCCATCCACATCATCAAGTAGGTCTCATGTGTGAAACAGCCACATCACCGGTATTAAGTACATCATGTTCAACTTTTTGTTTCATCTCCGCGTTTAACTTCCGTCGTTGCCTGGCTAAACAAGTGGACTGCAATTGCCAACGTATGACCTTCCTCTATATGCTCTCGGCCCATCTAATTAGTTTTCCGCACGTACCTATTCATCTTCTTTCTTTGTCTAAAGAAACTATTCATCTACTTCTCCACTGGTCACCTTCTCCGCCAGATGGAGAAATTAAATGCAAAGTAATAATGTGAAACCAATAGATAGTCACCGAGGAGTCGTCTGCTCCTTTTATATATACTACACATCACCTAGCGAGATTGCCACTTGAATTGCGCTTGCAGCTTCACACGTCCTCTCCTCTCCTCCTTCACAGTTCACACCCACATCCAGGAAAAGCCACTAAAAATCTCTCCCTGCTGATGTGATGCGTGTGTCGGTGAGGCGGCGTCCGTGGTGCCCTGCTCCTCCTCTCCCTTCTCAGCCTCCATTCCAAAGAAGGTAGCTCCCCGCGTCGCTCTCGAGATTGGCTCTGGCCAGTTCACGGAAATCGTACCAACCGTTGGAACCCGGAGATGCCTTTCTTTCTGGCCTGGGAGGATACTCCGGTAGAAACGCGGGGATTGTCTCCGACAGGGATTCTTTCCCGCCTTGAAGCCGATGCTGTGTAGGGCGGGCCTTGGTTGATAGCGGCAACTTGGAGGGGCGGGGTCCTCTTCGTGTGCTTCGGGCGGGGCAGTGGCGGCGATGAGGAGAAATAGTCAGTGTGCGGAGCCGTGGTTCAATCCCAGGTCGGTGCGACGGCGGTGCATGGTGATGAACCTGCGGTCGTTGTCCTTGGAGGACCTGTCGCGGACGCTGGCGAGGACGAGCCTGCACGGATGCAGCTGCACCCTGAACGATCTCAAGTTAATCACTTCCATCTCCAACTTGCCTCAGCCCCGTCTACAGAGCCTCCGTTGACCCGCGGCCGTCGCCGGACTCCCCCTGCAGCGAGTTACCGCCAACTATCTTGACCTCGACAGTGACGGCATCTAGGAGCACCGCCAGGGGCTGTCCTAAATTTCTACCAGATGCCTTGTGTGGCCGACTGCAAAAGGCACACCAACACAGAAGTACAGGCTACCACGAACAAGAAAAATGGCCATGGGCACTGATCCACCTTTTGATCCTGATCTCGCATCCCCTATCCACCTGTATCTATATGTTTTACTGTGCATATTTGTTGCAATGGAAAGGAACATGACACCTTCCGGTGATAGGGCCATGACCATGAGTATTCTGTTCCATATATGGTCAAGTGGCCATGCAATATACTAAGTAATGATCCAAAAGATATTATATTAGTTTACAGGGGCTACAGTGATATAAAAGATCTTACATTAGTTTACAAGACACGTGAGCTATTTTGACTAAAATGGTCCGCATGAGGTCTGCACTCTTCATGCAGTAATAATTTGGTATGCATGTAAAAGGAACAACAAGACTAGCTGTACGGAATCAACTTCCACTCTTGGCAACACCACGTGACACATGTGGTAAGCAATCCAAACAATTTTAAAGAAAAACTTCTAATCTTGGCAAGATGACTTGGGTACTTTTTTTAAAATCTATATTAACACAAGCCTTTTTCCTGTGAAACAACAAATAATAAATTTGCAACACTTATCTTCCATTTTACCTTGAATATGCCTAATATTTTTTGGAGTTTATATTTTACATACTATTCCGCAGCAACACGCGGGGTATTATCTAGTATACATACTGCCTGGTGACTAGCATTGTTTCTTCTTTGAGACACCAAAACCACCCCTCTCGCTTTAGTTACCCCGCCACTTCACTTTCTGCCTATCTGGTTTAGCTTATTATCAACATAGCAAAAAGGCCTGTGTGTTGCAACGGGAGAAAAAAATACCACACGCTCTTAATTTATAAAAGATGGTCTATAATATGAGAATTTGTAGTCATTGTTGAGGAAATCGTTACCTGGTAGCTGCTCGGTTGGCTGACGAGTAGGGAATTAATAGACTAATCGGCAAGTTAATCGGCCATTTAATCAATTACTCAGGCGATTAATCAGTTAATCGGCTACTTGGTAACCCTACGAGTAGGGATTAATCGGCAAGTTAACTGGTTAATTGGATGAATTCTTGAACAGGGTTTGTAGTTATGGCCCAAACAAAGATGGTCTGATCGAACCTATAAAAGCGTCTTTAAGATTCTACTGGTGTTCTATTTCAACACGTCTTGCATGCAGATTTAATTCGTACAAAGAAACGAGCAAGTGATCATGCATTTATTCATGTCATGTTTGGGATGAGGTGTTTTTATGGGTGAGTAAAGAAAAACGACAAAAACAAACGATCTTGTGGTGCGCATCGCCCAACTGGCCGACCCCATTTCAGGCGGCGGAGGACGATGCGGCACTGCGGCTCGTCTTGATGTGACCAGAACTCGCCGCCTATAGGGAGGAGCGGCTCAGCAAAGGTTGTGGTGCGCGTCGTCTAACAGGCCAATCGTGGCGCGCCGGTAGGCTACTGGATCGTTAGGTGATGTTGGCACCGCACCTACCGAGAAAAGGTAGAGGATCGTACCGCCGCCGGAGATGGTAAACGACGCGACAGGTTGATGGCCAGAGGCGAGGAAGCGTTGGTGTGGCGATTAACATTGCAGTCTAGATAGTACATTTTAAATTGTTAACATGTAAAATAGCATCATATTCAAATTCTACATAGTTTTCTAATAAAAATTCATATAAAACATGTTAAATTTAGAGTTACGGTTTAGAAGATATGAGTATTTTAAAAAACATTTCATATGTACTGCGGGTTTAATGTCAGAAACATTAAGGGGTTTTCCATAAAATAGCATGACGGACTAAGAATACCTATTTCTTTTATTAGTAGGTATAGATATTATCAACACAAGGTGGAGCATTAGAAGCAACCTAATTAAGTGGAGAGGCACAATTCCTTTTAGACACATATGATTCATTTAATCCTCTTGTGTATGGTGGAATTAGTGATTTAAATCAA